TGACAAAATTTGTATATTAACATTATTACATGAATCGTCACTTCGAAGAAGGATAACGTTCATACTCTGTTACTTTCATATAAAACAATGCTGCTGATGGCAGTTCAGAAGCATTCGCATAAGCGTAACGTCATTTGCTTCATGATGTCCAATGCAGTCTCAGATTTTTAACACGTATGCTATATAGAAGATACCCCGTTACTGTATCACAGAGAGAGAGAAAGAATTCCTCTCTGAACAGACATTTCCGTTTATCTTCTTTGTCGGCGATGTTTAACGTCAACTAAAATATTACTTGAAAAATGACAGCGCAAATGTGACTAATTCGAAATGACAGCAGCAACTATAAACTACTGAGTAAAAAATCCAGTAAGAAACTGTACAACTTTTACTTACAGACAGTTGCAGTACGATACGCCCTGGTATCGCAAGGAAGACCGATGACTTCAATGTCCACAACGGGACTAGCGATTCCTTTGCCTTTTTCTTTCCTGGACAGATGCCGGCCAGCAATGATCTGAAAAGGTTGCTTTGTAAAACTGAGTCATAAAGCAGAGAGTAACTAAAACAACGAAACTGCAGATTCTTCGGCTTAAAAAATTGTTTCAAATAAAATAAAAAAATAATAAAGTACGATACAAAATGTCTAAAACGCGAATATCTAAACAACAGAAAAATATAAACGAAAGTAGACTGAAAGCCCAAAACTCAAATTTCTCTTAAGTGAATAATATCTTTTCAACAGTGTTTTACGCTGAAAAAGAAGCATTTTTTAAGAGTTCAGAAAGTTCTGCGTGAAATAGAATTATAATCAGTAACTTACAATCGCCTTGCGTTCATTGTCAATTACTTTCGGGCCAGCGTGCGAGTTTCAAGCAAAGCAATAGAATAATTTCGAATTTAAGAAGCCTTAAAAACACAAGGTCGTCTGATTCAGTGGACTGAGACACACAGACCAGAACAGATAGATTTATTAATGCAGAAGAAGCTAACAACATAGTATGAGAGAAACTGAGCCATGCTTAGATTATAA